TGTCCGCGGGGCGCTACCCGAGCCCGTGCCCGCAGGTCATCTACATGGCGCGGAACCCCAAGGACCTGGTGGTGGCTTACTACCAGTTCCACCGCTCCCTGCGCACCATGAGCTACCGCGGCACCTTCCAGGAGTTCTGCCGGAGGTTCATGCACGACAAGCGTGAGTGCCGCCCGCTGCCCGCCGCCCGGGGAGCCCGGCCAGGGGGCTCTGGGTGGCAGAGCCGGGTGCAGGGCCGCCCGGGCCTTGCCCGCTGCGCTGTGCACCTGACCCTCCTGCCTGGCCCGCACAGAAGGGCGAAGTGGGGCTCTGTCCGTGCCAGGGTGGGGAGGGGCGCGCCCCGGGGCCTCCGCTGGCCTCAGGCAGCGGGTGAGGGGGCAGGCGGTGGGAGAGGGCGACTCCCGCAGGCCGCTCCGGGCCTGGTGCCCCCGCAGGCCGCGGGCAGCACCTCACAGCACTTCCAGTCCCCTCTGGCGTGGCTCCTTGTGGCTCCTCGGGCCCCAGAGCAGTTAGGGGCTTGAGCCCAAAGGCTTGGGAGTGCGCCTGCCCCCGACTGTGCCCGAGTCAGGAGCCGGGGAGGCGCTTTTCTGTTCTGTCTCCCAACTCGGCGCCGCAGCGGGCGGGGCGCGGCGTGGGCTGAGGGGAAAGTCCAGGCTCGGTGCCCCGAGAGGCCTGCCTGCCGCTGTCCCCAGGCCCGGGCCTGGGGCCCCTCCGCTTCCTGCCTTGCTGGTAGAAGGGGCTGGGGGGGAGGTCACGGAAGGAGGCCACAGTGCCTGTGCCCTCGGGCCCCGGGACAGCTGACGCCCCTGTCCAGCCTGCCCCAGCCCGCCCACCCTTTGGCCCCGCGTGGCCTGCGGGCCGTCAGCAGCCGCTCCCGGGGCTCCCAGGGCCTGCTCGTGACTCCCCACTACACACCACCGAAGCAGCCCCTGCAGGTGACACCCCCAGGCTCGCAGGTGTCTGCCCGCGACGTGGGCCAGAGCAGCAGCAGGCGAGCCCAGTGCAGGCCGATGCCCTGCTGATCTGCTGGGCCCGTCCCTGGGTCCTGGAGTTCTGTTCCCAGTGTCCAGGGCCGCCGGCCTCCGCTCTTAAAGGCGCAGCAGTGTCCTCTGTCCAAGGTGCTGATAATCCGGAGGGCGGCGGTGCAGTGGGAGCTGTGGAATGACCCCAGATCCGGGTGTGGTGACCCATGAGCTCAGGCCGGGTGGCTGGGGCTGTGGGCGCAGGGGACAGGAGCAGTGTCGGGGGGATGTGCCCTACAGGCAGGATGGCCCGAGAGGGCAGAGGGCGCTACTGTGTCCCCACTGTCCCCCTGGACAGGCAGTGGGCCTCCCGGGAGCAGAGGGGCCAGCAGACCTCCCAGGAGTAGGCAGGGGCCCTGGCGAACCCCCTGCCCAGGCCAGCGTGTCCCTTGGAACAGTCCTCCAGCAAGGTCCACACCCCAGCGCCCTGCCTCTGAGAGACCCAGACCCCTCTGTCCCCGTGGGCGGTGGCCCCTTGAGTGGCTGCCGCCCTCATCTGCCCGCCGTGTGGCCTGCGTGCCGCCTCCAGCAATGCCAGTTTCTGCTTCCTGTTGCCCTGTGCCCCTGGACTGGCTCTGCCCTGGGCCCCGGCCACCAGGGTGTGGGCCCTGTGGGTACTGGCTCGGGCCGCGCTCCGCTCCGCTCCTGCCCCGAGACTCCTTCTTCCTCTGGGGTGGCCTGGGCCGGTGACTGCCAGTGCCAGAAGGGGGTTTTTTGGGGGTCTGCATGGAGGAGGCCGAGCCCATCAGGGCCTGGGCAGCTGGCCCAAGACCAGCGGGCTGGGTCGCGTGGCTTGTCACCGCCGGGGCCTGTGCTGCATCTGCTCTCGGCTGGCTCATTTCGGCCCACTTGCCCCTCCCGGGCCCGCTTCACTTCTGAGATGAGGCCCCATGGCCCTGGGAGGACTTTCCACTGTGGCTGCCCTCACGGCCCAGCCCTGGCCGCACCCAGACCCTGGGGCGCCCTGGCCCACTCCCAGCCTGGGAGGTGGTCAGCAGCCGGCCAGGCCCCTTCTCTGCTCCGGGGCGACTCCCCTGGTGGGGCAGTGAAGCCCCTGCCCGCCCTGGGCTCTGGCACTGGACCGGCAGGGAGTTGCCGGCCCTGGCCTGGCTCCTGTCGCCAGCACCCGCGGGCTGAGAAACGCATGTGGGCTCGCGGCGCTGGGCTGCAGGCGCCGTCAGTCAGTGGGCGCAGAGAAGCCCTGCCGAGGCGCAGCTCACGTGGCCCCGCAAATGCCCGGGGGGCCGGCCTCCCTCCCTGGAGCCTCGGCGCTTGCCAGCCCCCTCCGGCCTCCCCCCAGCCAGGCCTGCTTCTCCTGCCCTGGGGTCCCCTGCGGCCTGCCCTGTGCCCCAGCTTCCCAGCTCCCCTTGTCCTGCTCCGCCCGCGGGGCCTGGCCTTGAGGCATTGGACAGCCTGGTCCTCAGTGCCGGTCACCCCAGGCCAAGCTCTGTCTGCGGCTCCTTCCCAGGCCGGTGCCTCGAGGCCTGCATTCTGGCGTCTAACCTATCTGGCCCGGGGGTCTCCCGGGCCCGGGCACTGGGGGCGAGGGGCAGGTGGCAGGTGCCCGTTTGTCCAGCCGGCCCTGGCTCGGGGCCACAGGGCCAACCTGGTCCCTCAGCGGAGGCCTTCCTCTGCTCTGAGGGGAGCCCCTCCCCGTGGGCCATGAGGTGGTCAGCTGCTGGGGTGGACCCGGAGTTAAGCTTTTACAGCATCACTTGCAGGGAGCCCCTGCCGCGGGGCCCCGACCCCAAACCAAAGCCCTAGGAGGTGTCGGGAGCCGGGGCTTCCACGTGGCATGTTGCCCTCGTGGCGGGGTGGCCCCTCTCTGTCCACCCTGCAGCTTCCTGGCCTCTGCTGGGCCTCTCCCCTCGGGCCAGCTCCGGGCCCCAGCATCTCCTGCACCCCTGACCTCCCTGCGCCCAGCCAGACCCACTTCCCGGGATGCAGCGATGCCCCTGGGCGCTGCCCAGCTCCCCTGCCAGGGTCGTCACCCAGTTAAGACTTCAGCGTGCCGGGAGTGGGGTGGGGCTGGGGCGTCGCCGGGAGACTGGCCCAGAGTGCGAGGCCTCATGGGCTTCTGAGGGGCCAGGGCAGCCCCGGGGCTGCGGGCCGGAGGGCGCGTCTGCTCCTCACGGCGGCCCGCCCCGCCGTCTCCGCAGTGGGCTACGGCTCCTGGTTCGAGCACGTGCAGGAGTTCTGGGAGCACCGCACGGACGCGAACGTGCTTTTCCTCAAGTACGAAGACATGCACCGGGTGAGTGTCCCG